CATTTCTCCCTAAGCATGTTTGAATCCATTTACTGTTGACTGACCTCTGCTGGACGTCTCTTCTAAGCATCTACTACTCTTTAGGTAAAAAAATACCAATCTCCATCTTGAGCATTGTTGCTCTTTGGCAACAAAACACAAAATAGGGCAGCGCAGTGGCTAAGTGGTTAGCATTTCTGCCTAGCAGTACAGGGTCGTTTGTTCGAATCACAACCACGGCACCACCTGCCTAGAGCTTGCATGCGTGGGTTTCCTCCGGGTACTCCGGTTTCCTCCCACACCACCCCAAGACATGCTGGGAGGGTAATTGGCTCCCGTCTAAATTGGCCCTAGTATGTGTATGTGTGAATGTGAGTTAGGGACCTTAGATTGTACACCCCTTGAGGGTTAGGGACTTATGTGAATGTACAATATATATGTAAAGCGCTGCATAAATTGACAGCGCTATAGAAGACCTGAAATAAATAAAAATAAATGCCAAGTTGTGAACAGGGGCTCAAGATTGCTGCAACTATCTGCTAATGAATGTGCTGACTTAACAGCATTAATAGAAAACACAAAAAAACAAACACTAAATACTACCATTTATCTGCCCTGCAGAGATTCCACCCTCATTAAGCCCATTGAAATGTTTTGGCTAAATATTTATCATGCTTGAACCTTTTATTGCAACAAACATTTTTGGATGCCATTATTGCAGTGGGGTGCCCCTGTTCTTACTCCAGGAATAAACACAAATAGTTATAACCTTTTTCTTATTCTATCCAAAACAATGTTTTTGTCTGGAGTTTGGCCTTACAATAAACAGAATTTGGTTGGAACTGCACTTTAAACGTGATGTCCATCACAACCAAACTGCCCAGCCAGTGTTAGAGGATCTCTTGTAGATGGGCAATGTGACCATTTAGGATTGATCCAGAGCTGTTCCCTATAGAAATCCACTTTGTTGTAGGCATAAAATTACAAAAACGGCTACTATCCCTACTAAGTGTACAGATTTAACTCCTTTATTAATACAACATAAAAAGATCGCACAAAATAGAACATAGTAAGCTTTCATTCCAAACTCTCTTTAATTAAGGCAGTACCCAAAACAAGCAAAAAAAAAAAAAAAAAAAAATAAAAAAAAAATAACAACTTACCCCAACTTTGAAAATCCCAGTGAAGTTCTAGGTAAAAGTCTCCCAGCTGTGGATGGAAACAAACAAACAGACAGATAATACATTTACAAAAAAAAAAAAGAACAGAATTACAAAACAGCATGGCTAGAAGTCAATTCTGGAAATGGAAAGAACATTATTTCCTTAAAAGCCACACTTCAGGCAAACCAACAAAGACACAAATGAAATACATATATGGGAGCAGTTTTACCTACCTAAGAATTTGCATGTGTCCATCCAATCCTAAAAATGCACAAAATTCTACTAAAAGCACGGTGAGGATGGTGAAAGGAAAACAAAAAGCAGACTAATGAGCCCATCTGTCACTCTGCTTTCTCCTGTCAGCATTCTCCCCTGCACTCTACCCCCCTAGTCTAAGCTCTGCTGTACAGTGGATTGCAAGAGGCTGATACCAAGTCAAATTCAGGTATATACACTGCTTGCAAAAATAAACAATTTTTATTAATGGCTACAGATATGCATTAAAACCCAACAATGGGCAAAAAGTTTAAGTTCTTTTAATGCAGTGAGCTCACATTGCACGGGTCAATTGCTCGTTTTGTCCAGGACTGAGGAGAAAGCCAATACCCACCCAATCCTTCGTTCCATCAGAAAACTTTGCCCCCCCCCCCCCCAATTTCCAGTGGTTGACTGTTCCTAGTCTATGGAGCCTGCTCTGTGCTTGAGGACGTCAGGAACAGTCCACCACTCAAGACCACTGGAGCATGGGGGTGCCAGACAGTCTTTATGCTTGGAGGAACGGGGGAATTAGGAAAATACATCCCTCTTCTCTCCCCTAGACAAAAAAGACAAAAAAAAAAAAAAAAAAAAATGAGCTGTGAAGCCTTTAAGGGCTTGTTTGCACTTGGGAACAGGAAAAAACAAGCGGTTGAAACTGCTTTTTGATGTCCCCATCAGTGTAAGGCAGTGCTGTGGAATAACTCAACCACATGCTTGTCTTAACCCCACCCATTTTTTACTACAGTCCACCCATATGTACAGGTGTGCACATTTTTGAGACTACATTCAGTTGGGAGGGACTGACATGCTGGTAGAGGCACTCTACACAAAGCATGCCTTGGAACCTGGATTGGGGTTATTCCAGGGGCGGACTGACCATTGGGTAACTCGGGCACTGCCCGAGGGCCCGGGGTCAGTAGGGGGCCCCATGAGATGTCCCTGGTACCTTTCATAGGCTTTTTTGGGTGTGGTTTGAGTGTTGGCAAGGACACAGGGGTCACATTGGGGCCCCATGAGTTGTCAGTCCGCCCCTGGGTTATTCTTTTTCACACAATAGTTTGCACTGAAAATGATGTTCACCATTGCTGGGCACATGCCATGCATGTTTCCCCTATGTTCTTTTACAGCCCCTATGCAGTTCTATTTTGCTCTTGTCCACTTTCTACACTCGTGCCCAAATGTTACTTTCTCTTCGGTTGCTGTGAGCGGCTCATGCGACCCTCCTGCTTCTCTGTATTCCGGTTATCTCCTGCAATGTACTGTATGGATGATATCAAGAGACCTGAACTGGCTGGGCAAGGAAGAGAAAAGTCTATTATTTAACGTTCTCTTTGGCAAAACAAGTAAGAAAGGGGGACTCACTGCAAGGGTAAAGGTTTTGCATTCAGCTTTCAATGAGGACACAGGCAACCCACAGACACAGGGCTGCTTGCCTGCTGCCTTTGTAGCTTTGTGCAACTGATTTTTAAAAAATCCAAAACATTTCAGCACACAAAGTCCTTTGTAAACGCACATTTCTTCTTTTTATGCCATCTTCATTGTAGGTACACACATTTCTCTTACTCCATCACATACAGACAATTCGGATCAACTCATTTACCAGAACCAACATAGTGCTCTCCAATTTTAATACCACCTGAACTCCTTTTCTCCTTTGACAGAGATACGGCTTCTATGATTTACCTCTTTCAGAGCGTTTAACAGGCGCGGTCTCTTCTCCTCCACACTCTCCCTGGACTGCTGCTTCAGCTTTCTCAACAGTGCTGTAACTGGAACAGAAATATATTAACGATACAATCACAGGCCTTGCTGCTCTTAAACGCATTATTGATCCGCCAACCTGTGCAGACATATATAAAACCAAAACCAATGGCAGGCTGTAAGGAATTAACATTACAATGACTGATGACCATCAGATAATTTTTAGTGAGAAAAACAAAAGATACGACCATTAGTTGCCAGACAGGCAAGAGAACAACATGGGAGAGATTTACTAAACCTGGTGCAGCTCTGCATAGAAACCAATCAGCTTCCAGATTTTATTGGCAAAACCATAAAGTGGTTGTAAAGGCTGAAGGTTTTTTTACATTCATGCATTCTATTCATGAAGGTAAAAAGCCTTCTGAGTGCAGCAGTACCCCCAGCTCCCTTAATACTTTCCTGAGCCCCATCACGATCCAGCGATGTGCACGACAATGGCTCCCACTGCTGTCAATCACAGCCAGTCAACCAATGAGGAGAGGGGGGTGCCCAAGCCACAGGTCCATGTGTTCACGGATACATGGAGCAGCAGTTGGGGACAGGAGAGCCTACAGGGGATGCCAGAGAGGAGGATCCAGTCTGCTCTGTGCAAAATTACTGCACACTAGTGGTGCACCGAAATGAAAATTCTGTTGCTGAAACAGATACCAAAAAATCCGAATGCACATGGCCGAAAACTGAAACGTCTGTATGCGAGTGTGGGGGGGCTCAAATATTTTTTTGTAATTTTTTTTTAACGTTAATGTGTATTTTTATTTATTTTTTTTTAACTTCTGATTTTATTGCTATCATATAGCGGACCAATAGTCCCCTATGTGATAGCATATGAGTGACAGATCCTCTTTGTAGGGGGGAGGGGGTGGGAGGGCAGTGTGTGCAAGGAGGGGGGGCAGGAGAGGACCAGTGTATACACTCAGGATCCCTCACTGGCTGCCACTATATGTCACTGCCGGATTTTAATGTAATTACAGGTTTTTTTCCCCCTTCACTATAGCTCCAAGAATGAGCGGTCATTCTCCTTTCTGCTAAAGGAAACTAAGGGGTGGGGTCACTGTGTGCCACCGCCCCTTAGTGGAGGTGCGGCATGGAGGCTAAGGGAAACTAACACTGGGCATGCGCCAAAGCATCAAGGCGCCAAGCATCACTGCGCAGCCGCATCTCCCGCCTGCAGGAGGGGGCAGCGCAATCCACACCTCTCCCTGGTGGGGATGGAGTAGGGCGGAATCAAGTCGCCACAGCCACACCTGCTCTCGCTTCGCTACTACACAGCCAAAGGATCACTGCGCAGCTACACCTCCTTCCTGTAGGACAGTGGTTCTCAACCTGTGGGTCGCGACCCCTTTGGGGGTCGAACGACCCTTTCACAGGGTCCCCTAAGACCATCAGAAAACAAATATTTTTAATGTGTAAAGAGCAGCTACTGTGTGGAAAGCAGCTGCTGTGTTGAAAGCAGCTACTCTGTTAAAAGCAGCTACTCTGTTTGAAAGCAGCAGTATTGGAGGTAAAACGACACTCATGAATTATAATTACTGGGTAAATAATTTTATGGTTGGGGGTCACCACAACATGAGGAACTGTATTAAAGGGTCACGGCATTAGGAAGGTTGAGAACCACTGCTGTAGGAGGAGGGGGCAGAGCAACCCACATCTCTCCCCGGTGAGAATAGCGCAGGGAAGAACCAATTTTCCTCAGCCGAATCTATGTCTACTCTACTGCACCGGGCGAAGTACACTGGATAGCTGTATTTTCGGCACCTGTAATCGGTCGATATTTTTATATCACCAAAATGCCGAAAGGGCTGTTTTCGGCCAAAACAATTCGGCAACCAAAATTTCGGTGCACCCGTACTGCACACAGTAGGCAAGTATAAACATGTTTGTTTTTTCTCCGGAAAAAAAAAAAACCTTCAGAATTAAAAGGATAAGTTCACATTTTAAAAATAAAATATAAAATTCACATTTTCTTTTTGCAGGAAAAAAAAACAAAAAAAAAAAAAAAAACGCATTTCTTTTTTAGTTTCTGGAGTCTCTAAAGCTGATTGCTGGTGCCATACAGGTCTCCCTCTGACCTTCTAGTATCTGCTTGCTCATACATGCCGTATGGGCAAGCAGATACTCACTGACCGGAAGGCTCAATGAACTACCACGACGCTGGGACTTTTTTTTTTTTTTTTTTTTTATTTGTGACAGTGGGGAGGAGAAGATCCCCCGCTAGCTGTCACAAACGGGGATCAGGAGGGTGCGATCGTAACATTTTACACCCTGAAACATGGGTGTAATTTGTTAGAAAAGGGTGAAGCTGAATAGTTACTATGCACAGCTGTACCAGTTTCTGTGTTCACCAGTTTTAGTAAATCTCCTTGTGTCCCTTTTTTATGGGAAGGTAACATTTACAACTCATTGATATTAACATCAGTCCACTTTTTTTCCCCTTTTTTACATCTATAGACAAATGTTTTGCCTTTCATTTTATATGAATAGGTTGTTTTACAAAAGGTGAGGTTTTACAATCACTTTAAAATAATACATGCCTATACTGTTTAAACCTAGTAAACACTGCCTCACCATGCTCTGCACATGCTCAGTTCAATGTAGAGGCCCAACTGCTGACAGCCTAAAGCTTTACTGCTGCTCAGGGTTTCTGGGCCTCAGCAAAATGGCTGCCTCCATTAAAAAAAAAATAAAAAAAATAATAAAATCGGAGCAATGCTGGAGGTAATTTACAGCACACACTCATTTTGGTAGTATAATTAATGTGGAATGTATGCTTCTTGCTAAAGAACATTTTTTTTTTCATGTATTTTGTTTTTTTTTTTTTTATTTTTTTTTTTTTTTTTTTTTTTTTTTTTTTTTTTTTTTTTTTGTTTTTTTTTTTTTATTATTTTTTTTTATTTTTTTTTTTTTTTTTATTTTTTTTTTTTTTTTTTTTTTTTTTTTTGTTTTTTTTATTTTTTTTTTTTTTTTTTTTTTTTTTTTTTTTTTTTTTTTTTATTTTTTTTTTTTTTATGTTTTTTTTTTTTTTTTTTTTTTTTCAAGTGGTCATGTGTAAAGTTCAGCTTTAGATCTTCAAATCTATAACTGTACAGCATCTTTACATCATTTGCTGAACATGAGGCCTTGACTCAAGTCCAGATTAAATAGGGTAAGGTGACAGTGTTTCTTTAATGTAAGCTTACCCCCTGACAACCCTTTTGCTCACCTCGCCAATGTGTCTGACAGTGAGAAATACCAAGTGTTTCCAGATGTGGAGGAGTACGTGATCTATGTACATGATGCAGTGCTTTGGTGACCAATTACTACTGTATGCACAAGCAGTGTCACGTGATGGAGGGGGCGATCTCACTGGCCTGAAATTTTGGTGGCAGTTGCAGCAGAATGACAGGGCATAACAGGAAAATGTAGCAGTGTATTCCAAACAGACCCTGTCACACACTAGACCGAAAGGCAAAGTGTCCATCTTCAAGCATCACCACCTCCTGGTTCTAAACCTATTGCACTCTCCTACCGAAGGCTTCACAACGATCCACTGCATTTTGGTTAGCTGAGCTTTCTTAAAGACTTCTGTCCTGCGGTTTTGGTGTATTATCTGAAAGCACACTAAATCTACAGGACATAATAGAAGGCGTTTGGGAAAAATGAAGCTAACCCACACAAAAACTACATGTACATTGTGCTGCAACCATAGCGCAGTGAAGCAGTGCTGAAAGTCCTAAAGCTGGAATATTATCGGTATTTGCAATTGCGCCACTGAGTCCTGTTCCTCCGTCGTACCTCTACATATCCTTACCGCAAAACGCCCCTTGAACACGTCTGTCAGCATCCCCCAGGGTCCCCTGATCTCATTTCTGTAATTTATGCCTCTCTTAACAGTAGGTCCTCCTCACCACCCCTGTCTTATGTCTCTCAATGGGAGCGAGATCTAGGTTTTTCGATTGCGGCGGAGGATTGGCGTAGGGCCTGGGGATGCTGGCAAAATGTTCCTTCAATATGGTCACTCTGGAGGGAGCTTACAAAGTTCTCCTGCGGTGGTACTGGGTCCCAGCTCGGACTGCTCACTTTTTTCCGACTGGCGGATAGGCGTTTCCCAGAACTGTGGTCTACGTGGGGACGTCTGCACATCTGGTGGTCGTGCCCGCGATTAATAGGCTTCTGGTCTAGGGTTTTTGATTTGCTGCAAACGTTATTTCATATTACGGTCCGTGAGGATGCAAGGGTGGCCCTCCTGCATTGCCCAATTTTGGGTCTGTCTAGGTCTCAGCAGAAATTGGCATCCTACCTATTCATTTCGGCCAAATGTGCTATAGCTCAAGCTTGGAGAACCCCTTTGGTTGTCTTCCAGGGGGTGAAGACCCGGATGAATGCTATGCTGATCAATGAACAGATGTCTAGCGTTCAAGATTCTCATCCAAGATTCCTTAATGTTTGGGGACCTTGGATACGTTATTCCCTGCCATCCCTGCCTCCTACTAGCTATGGCCTCTAATAGTCGTTGCCTGTGCTAGCCCTGGATCCGTGACTCTTCTAGTCTTCCATGTTTTCTCTCTGAATCTTTCTTCTTTATTTTTTTTTATGTTTTTATGTTTTCTTTTTTCTATCAGTTTGGGTTTTTATTTTTTCCTTTCCCGTATGTTCTGAGCCGATACTTCTCGGTAGGGATTTTTCCTCTTTGGCTTTTTTTTTCCGGTAAAATGATGGATTGCTGGTGCTACTATTTGGTTCGACTTTTCGCCGTCCCTCGATATCATTGGTGTTCCGTTATTTGGCTAATACACCCTGCTGACTTGTATCTGCTTATGTATGTTATTGTTCTGCTCTGCCCCTGCGTGGGCGTATCACAAGCTTGTTGTATTATAAAAACAAAAACTTCAACAAAAATATTGAAATAGAAAGTCCTAAAGCTGGCTGTTGCTATACAAATCAGCAGACCACCTAATCCAAAACCCTACACTGTGTTGCATGGCTTTACAACTAATGCTTAGTGATCACCACTTCCTAATGCCCGCATGGGCAGCAAAAGGAATGCAAATAGAGAGATTTCTAAAGCTGGACACATAAGAACAGGGTAGATGATTCAACTAACTGTATCTACCCAGAAATGGATGTATATTTGAGTCAATTGATCCTTTTAATGACTGAACTGAAACTTCCATTACTGGCATTAGTAAAATATATAGTACATTGAAGTCGCTCATTGTAATGATGAATACAGATGTAACAGAATACTGTCATGTCACTGTATTGATCCAAAATGCATTAGTTATTGCTGTAAGAAAATGAAGAAAGGGGATAAGGAAACAAAAAACCCTGGCAGAGTTACAGCAGTCTGTAAACTTCAGGCAGCATTAAGGGGACTTGACACTAGCTGTCATTATTGCACAATCAGCATTTATAAAAGACGAGAAAACTGCAGCCAAGACCTGAACTGGCCACTTGTCTTTCCCATTTAGATTCAAATAAAAAAAGGACAGAAGAACCTAATGTGCTGTGCAAATCCAAAACACAAGATGCTTACTCATCTGTCTGTCTCCATAGCTGATGGCCTCAGCCAGGGGGCTCCAGCCCTGGGCATTCTTTACCTTGACCGGAGCATTGTGTGCCAGAAGGAGATGAGCACATTCTGCAATACAAATAAAGGTTACTGTAATACAGAACACAGAATGGAGCTCTTTTCTAAGCATATCTAAAACCATTTTTTTTGCTATATTGGAAACAGTAGGAAATGGCTGAAGAGACTCATTCTAATAAAAAGTATGCAAGTAAAGACGTGCATAAAACTTGTAAACTGCTAATTCACCTGAAAACCTTTGGAATGGCTAGAAAAATTTGGCTACTCAGGGAAAGTCAATTAGCTCTGCCTCCTCACCGCTTGCATGTCTCCGCCCTCCCCTTTTATGGGAGTGTCTGATTACTGTCTGTGGCAGCCCAGCTCCTCTGCCCCTCCCTTCATAGCTTTTTATGTAGCTGCCGGGGGAGAAGCAAAAAGGAAAACCTAAAGCATGTCACTCAAATGACAGCTGTAATCTGCTGGGGCCACTGAAATCCCATCAAGATGGCAGTACCCAACAGTAGCTTTTTGCTGTCCAACACAAGGGAGGTTTGTACTGGTAAATAATATGGTGAATGTACAAATAATCTTAGGACTAGATTTTGTTGAAATGAATTGTTTGGTGACAGGGTCTCTATAAATCCTGTTAGGTTTATTATTATTATTTATTGCAGTCTGTCTCATTAGGGAGATTCCCTATCACTACCTGTTTAGTAAGGTAGACAGGAAACAAAGTGAGGAAATTCCTTGCAAAACAAAGGTTACAAATGCATGCATCTCCATCGGAAGGATTCTCCTCTATTCCTACTTTGCTGACAACTCCAAATGCTCAATTTTCCTTAATCCAGTAATAGTGGTCATCAAATCAAATTGATTTCCAAAAAGGAACAGAGCAGCATATACCCGACATGGGCTTTAAACTCATTGGCCTTAGATACATGTACCATAAAGGTTGAAAAATTCTTTACAAAAAGCAAGTTGTGGTCATTAACAGTCACATATAAGTAGACTTCTGTACTGTTGAAGACATTTAACTTCCTAATTTCTAATGAGTATCAGGTACATATTAAAGTATTTATAGGCACCCAGATAATCAACTTAGTCATTCTGAACCCAAACAGTTTTGTTACCTTAATGCAGGGGGGTGCAACCTGTGGCCCTCGACCTCAAACTAGAGAAGTGCAAACCATGCGTCAAGGGGCCCATGTGGCCTCTGTTACATTGTTTTACTCTTGGACAAGAGGGGTGGCAGGGGCAAGATATACTAGAACCGATAGTCTCCATTTTCCTCCTACAACCGCAGAAATCCACGTTATCATCCTCTCCCTCCCGCCAGCATTCAGCTGCTGCAAGAGGAAAATGTTCATTATGCTATTCAAAATAAAAACATTTCAGTGTGGCCCGCAACCGGTTACCAAATCACTTAAAGCAGCGTTCCAGTCCCCCAAAATTTTTTTCTAAAAGAAGATCCACGATGACATTACAAATAACAATCAGAATTGGAATAATGCAATATTAAAAACATTGAAATAACTTTGCAAATCATTCATACTTACCTAGATCTGTGAAGCAAGGAGTCGCCATGATGGCTGTGGGCATCTGAAGCCCGCAGGTTTTTACTTCCTGAATTCGTGCTGCTGGCTATCCCAGCATGCAACACTCGGCAATGCTTGGTGCGACGTGTGCAGTACAGGTTGCCATAGCAATGGTGGGGACGGATGAAGTTCCCGCCCCCGTCAGGCAACCTGTACAGCACTTCAATACTGCAGACATGTCCTCCTCTCAGCATGGACTCTGGTAAAATGGCGTGAAGCACCGCCCATTTGCGTCATTTCCAGTTTCCAAGTCTCAAGAGCACAGGAAACCAAAGGGATACAGGAAACGACATCCCAGGAAACCTTGCAAATCGCTGATCTACGTCATCGCCTAGGCGGTCGGGACCGGAACTGCAGGCTTGCTGAAGATAAAAAGGTATGTATAGGGGGAAAAAAAAAAAAAAAAAATTTCCAACTTGTGCTTCTTTTCACAGGGACTATCTAATAAGGCCAATTTGTAAAAATGGGTGGAACTCCGCTTTAAGTGGCCTTCACTCTTAAATGTTAAGCATCCCTGCCTTAATGCACTGCTGGCATTAGGGAAGAAAAAAACCCCCAAAAAAACCCAAAAACTGTTCTCTGAAGCCGCTCTGGTCCAGTACCATGGTCTCCCTAGTAGTGGCTTCTGTGTAGAGGAGAGACCACTTACAAAGGCTGCAAATGCCTGGGAGATGTCATCACCCATAGGCTTACTATGGGGCATCCGACGTCATCGACCCCTCTACACAGAAGCCGCCTCTGAGCAGATGATGGGACTGCAGCAGCTTCAGAATAGGTAAATGTATGCATCTTTTCCTTACAGGGTTAGATAGACTAGGCTTAGGATGGGGGTGGGAGTAGGTTTAGCCTAAACTTCCACTTAAAAGGTAATACAGTACAAATGACATCATCACGTAGGAGCAGAAGGGTAAAGTCCGCTCCAGTGAAGAGGAACAGCTGCTTTGGCGGCACAGTGTGATGGAGTGTAAAGATACCTCGCCACCAAAAATCTATTTTTGTGTAGCAGATTCAGCTGCTTTTACAGTATGTGTGCAGATGGCCTATTGTTCAACTCAAGCACAGGGAACAGGACTTCCCAACCAAAGTTCCTTGGAATAGATGGCACACACACAAGTGACTGAGGACTGGTGGAGGGTCAAAGAACAAATCAAGGGTAGATAGAATGTAGAAACTTTAAATCCCCGGGCGCCCAACATACATGGCTCCATGTGTAGGGCACTTCTCAGAGGCAGCATTACTACCAGGTAGAGATCGCTCTGCCCAAGAGTAGAAGTATATTCCTGGCCATTGTGCTCAAAAGTTTGCATCCCCTGGGGGAAAGCGTGACATTTTGACATTTATATTGAAAATATGACTGAGCATGACAAAAAACTTGTTTAGGGATAGTGATCATATGAAGCCATTTATCATCACATAGTTTGGCTCCTTGTTAAATTATGATAAACAGAAATCCCGCAAATGGCCCGGATCAAAAGTTTCCATCCCCTTGAATGTTTCGCCTTGGTACAGACACACAAGGTGACACAAAAGGGTTAAAAAAGGCAATTAAAATGTTAATTTCCCACATCTTTGGCTTTTAAATTGCAATTAGTGTCTATGTATAGTCAGTCAAAGAGTTTGTTAGCTCTCACATGAATGCACTGAGCAGGCTAGATACTGAGCCATGTGGAGTGGAAAAGAACTGTCAAAGACCTGGACATGTTTATAGCACAAAAATGAAATGCACAGGTGATCAAATACCACCGAAAGAAAGCTCTATTTGTGGGAAAAAAAGGGACATAAATTTCATTTGGGTGCAGCATTGCATGACTGCACAATTGTCAGTTAAAGTAATGCAGCCCTATAACAAAAAAATGGCCTGGTCAGAAAGGGGGGGGGGGGGGGGGGGGTGCCGGGAATCCTCTGGAGGGCAAGTGGTTAAAAAAGCATGGTCACTGACCACCAATGCTGGGGGTTTTGTGGGCACTGGTGCCAATGCAGGAAGTTATTCTAAGACGTTAACATGAAATGTGCAACTTCATTGACAAATGCCGATGTAGACATTGGATTACATTATTTGGCCATTAACGGCCCAGCTGGTCAACCCCTAGAAGAGCAGAAAACTTCTCAAAGACACGGAGATAGTCAAACTAAAAGAAATAAAAAATAAAACTTGCCTTTGTTGCCCAACATCACAGCGAGGTGTAATGGTGTATTACCTGAAAAATAAACAAACATACGATCAGAAAAGAAACAACCATTCCACAGGACAATTTTCAAAGCTAGGAAAAAACTAAACAAAAAAAAAAAAAAAAAACCTCGTTCCTGTATAGCTAGTATTGGACTTTACTGGCATGCTAACATTGTGGAAAACCAATGAGAACTACTGCTACCCAATTCTTGCTGAATGACTGCTACAAGAAAACCTGTTCCTAGACAGGGCTCAAGGGGGAGATATTGATATCAGGTAAAAGTTTTATTGGAACTCAATCTTGCATCAACACAAGAACAGTGCTTCCAAGCAATACAAAGGGTAAATACAGGTGAAACTCAAAAAATTAGAATATCGTGCAAAAGTTCATTTATTTCAGTAATGCAACTTAAAAGGTGAAACGAATATATGAGATAGACTCATTACATGCAAAGCAAGATAGTTCAAGCCGTGATTTGTCATAAATGTGATGATTATGGCTTACAGCTCATGAAAACCCCAAATCCACAATCTCAGAAAATGAGAATATTGTGAAAAGGTGCAATATTCTCGGCTCAAAGTGTCCCACTCTAATCAGCTAATTAGGCCATAACACCTGCAAAGGGTTCCTGAGCCTTTAAATGGTCTCTCAGTCTGGTTCAGTAGGAATCACAATCATGGGAAAGACTGCTGACCTGACAGTTGTGCAGAAAACCATCATTGACACCCTCCATAAGGAGGGAAAGCCTCAAAAGGTAATTGCAAAAGAAGTTGGATGTTCCCAAAGTGCTGTATCAAAGCACATTAATAGAAAGTTATGTGGAAGGGAAAAGTGTGGGAGAAAAAGGTGCACAAGCAGCAGGGATGACCGCAGCCTGGAGAGGATTGTCAGGAAAAGGCCATTCAAAAGTGTTGGGGACTTTCACAAGGAGTGGACTGAGGCTGGAGTCAGTGCATCAAAAGCCACCACACACAGACGGATCCTGGACATGGGCTTCAAATGTCGTATTCCTCTTGTCAAGTCCTACCTGGGCTAAAGAAAAACAGACCTGGTCTGTTGCTCAGTGGTCCAAAGTCCTCTTTTCTGATGAGAGCACCTTCTGCATCTCATTTGGAAACCAAGGACCCAGAGTATGGAGGAAGAATGTGAAGTTTCCACAGTCTGTGTTGATTTGGGGAGCCATGTCATCTGCTGGTGTTGGTCCACTGTGCTTCATTAAGTCCAGGGTCAACGCAGCCGTCTACCAGGAGATTTTGGAGCACTTCATGCTTCCTTCTGCAGACGAGCTTTATGGGGATGCTGACTTCATTTTCCAGCAGGACTTGGCTCCGCCCGCACTGCCAAAAGCACCAAACCCTGGTTCAATGACCGTGGGATTACTGTGCTTGACTGGCCAGCAAACTCGCCTGTCCTGAACCCCATAGAGAATCTATGGGGCAGTGCCAAGAGAAAGATGAGACATGAGACCAAACAATGCAGAAGAACTGAAGGCCGCTATTGAAGCATCCTGGTCTTCCATAACACCTCAGCAGTGCCACAGGCTGATAGCTTCCATGCCACGCCGCATTGAGGCAGTAATTAGGGCAAAAGGGGCCCAAACCAAGTACTGAGTACATATGCATGCTTCTATTTTTCAGAGGTCCGATATTGTTCTATGTACAATCCTTGTTTTATTGATTGCATGTAATATTCTAATTTTCTGAGATTGTGGATTTGGGGTTTTCATGAGCTGTAAGCCATAATCACCACAATTATGACAAATCACGGCTTGAACTATCTTGCTTTGCATGTAATGAGTCTATCTCATATATTAGTTTCACCTTTTAAGTTGCATTACTGAAATAAATTTACTTTTGCACGATATTCAAATTTTTCGAGTTTCACCGGTATGAGCTAAATGTGGCTGAAGCACAGTAACTATATCCATAGGTTTTAAGAATTAAGACTGAACTAAACTTAAAGGAAAATATATAAACTGACAGAAGGTAGAATTTTCTGGTATAAGAGATTTTACAAGCCTGTTCTGCCAAAAAAAACTGCTGTACCGATCAAGTTTTTTTTGTCCAGAGCCTGCAGCACACACAGTGAAGCCTGCCTTGCCCATTTAAGCCAGGCGCCAAGAAGATGCGCGCACCCCCGCGGCCCACTCGAGCCAGGCGCCAAGAATATGCGCTCACCCGCAACCCACTCGAGCCAGGCAGATGCGCGCACACGCAGCCCATTCGTTACAGGCACCAAGGAAGATGCGCACCCCTGGCTGCGGCTCACTCGTGACAGGCACCAAGGAAGATGCGCACCCCTGCGGCTCACTCGTGACAGGCACCAAGGAAGATGCGCACCCCTGTGGCCCACTCGTGACAGGCACCAAGGAAGATGCGCACCCCTGTGGCCCACTCGTGACAGGCATCAAGGAAGATGAGCACCCCTAGCCCACTCGTGACAGGCATCAAGGAAGATGAGCACCCCCGGCCCGCTCGTGACAGGCATCAAGGAAGATGAGCACCCCCGGCCCGCTCGTGACAGGCATCAAGGAAGATGAGCACCCCTGGCCCGCTCGTGACAGGCATCAAGGAAGATGCGCACCCCTGGCCCGCTCGTGACAGGCATCAAGGAAGATGCGCACCCCTGGCCCGCTCGTGACAGGCATCAAGGAAGATGCGCACCCCTGGCCCGCTCGTGACAGGCATCAAGGAAGATGCGCACCCCGGCCCACTCGTGACAGGCATCAAGGAAGATGCGCACCCCCGGCCCACTCGTGACAGGCATCAAGGAAGATGCGCACCCTCGGCCCACTCGGGAGAGTTGTCAGGAAGATGCACATTCCCGGCCCTCCACTTTGCTTGGTAAATCTGCTATAATTTGCAAATATGCTGTGCATACAAAAACAGCTAAATGCTTCCCAGAGGCCCCAAAACTTAGTCTGGTGGCTTACTTCTGCCTACAAAAAGACTTTTCTTCTTTATAAAGACAGGCTTCTCTTTCAGCAATAAAATAATTCATCCCGTGAAGATGAAAGGCAAGCAGGCAGCAATTCTAACATTAGCACACATTCCAGTGTCATGGAGCGCAAGTCCTAATTAACGGGCTGCCACTTAAGAAGGAGAGAACCTTTTTAAAGGGACCATGAAAAGCCTAAGAGGGTCCTTTTACATATTGAGGCTGACAGATCTGGGGCAGCAAACACACAAGTTATACCGATAAAACTTTAAACAGCATTTTATATAAATATTTCAGGTAGAGAGAAGAGAAAAAAAAACATATCTTGTTTCATGTTACATCTGCATGAGAAAGCATATGGGAAGACTTTGAAAACTTAAGATGGTCAATTCAGTATTAAATAACTGAAAAAAAAATATAAATACCCGTAAGTAATCAGTCAGCCTCAGGTGTGAATATACCAGGTCTACCGGCTGACTTTCCATGCGCAAAGCTGCTGCAGGCAGACATGAGTGTCCTGAGGCAGATCACAGAGCTGAGCTATAGCTCCAAGTCAGCTACTGCTGGTTGCCAAAGTAGATCTAAACTCAAAGTAAGCAAAATTTGTGTTGATGCATTAGTTTTGTGCATTTTTAAAGTTTGTTTTTTTAATTAAAAAAAGGAATGCTCTGCTCTGTAAATGGTATTACAAAAGAGGCCCTGAACCTCCTCTTCTGAGGTCCCCCACTGGCATCATCTGCTGCTCCTCTACTCCTGTCCCCGTAGGAAATTTCTTGCTATGGTGGCAGACATGCAGGCTTGATTCATAGCCAAGCTGTGTGTGTCCATAGACACACACAGCGCGGCTTGGCCCCGCCCCCTACTCCCAGCATTTTATTGACAGGTGATACCAGCAGAAGTGGAAGCGGGTACTATCAAGAGTAGGTACCCGCTCACACGAAAAAAAAAAAAAAAAAAAAAGGGGGGTAGGGGGGAGAGAGAAGGACATAAGGATGAGCTTCCCCTTTAGCGCAAAGTTCCACTTTAATTGACTGAAGGCCAAGCTCATTCTGTGCATGTACTGCTGCATGAATTACTCATTCAGGATCAACATGTAACCAGCCTCTCTACTAGAGTTCCTCCAGAAGATGCTAGGGGGGTTCCTGACCAATGGACAATGCAACCACTGAAACCAACGATCTTTATAACCATTTGTAAGGAGAATCTTCCCAGTGACCATCACACTAAATGTACTGTGAACTGTGGATATAGTAAATATTAGCAGGGGTTCTTTGACACCAGAAAGCCATAGATGGCTCTAATGTCAGCCAGTATAGCAGGGACCAGTCGAGACTTGAACCATCTATGGGCAGGGTGATTGTGCCCAATTTCAATTCTTGTACAACCAGCCTGTCAGATTTTTCATGAGAGAATATAGCCAGAGGATATAACAGGCGGTAGCAGTAATCGCTGCATTCTCCCAGGAGGGATGGCTCTCCACTCCCGTCCCCTGCCGGGAGAACACTATAGCTCTGACTGCGATGAGGAAAGAAATTGAGCGATTTTCTTCCCATGGTTGCAGGTAAGAAAACGGCATAGTCTTTGGCTTTATCAAAGGGTAGTTATGTGTTACACAAGTTTGAGGAAGGCTGATGTAAACCGTGTGTAATCAACAGAGGCGGCCCGGCCCAATTACACACTACTGTTTACATGTCAGCACTGAGCCCAGGCTGCCTAGATAATGACTCACTCACTAGACGGGATAAGCGGCCCAACAAGTTGCCTGTAATTCTGTATAGTTAGGCTGCAGTACGGACAATTTTTGAAGCAAGATCCTGAGTAAACCTTACATGGCCGTGTGAATGAGGCCTAAAGCAGACCTTGCAGGTTCGCTGAAATCAGGTACACACGGGCCGAATATCGATCGGTTCAACTAAACCTGGCCGACATTCGACCCGTGTGTACAGCAGACTTTATAACAGAAGCCAGTCTAACGACCGGCTGGAAAACCAGCATCTGATTCGCGCTTGCAGCCAATGGCTGAGTGCATTGATCAGTATGTTCTGGTGAGGTAGCCCCCTGTCAGAACACAATAACTCAGTCAATCGCCGC